ATAATAATAATTATAATCATACCACTTTTAAAAGGAAGTCCAGAGTTTACACAGTGAGAACTTGAGAAAATCCTAGCTGTTACACTCCATCTTAAAGTGAATTCTGACTTCCACAGCCCTTCATCAAAAGGGGTGGGAGGAGGAGGAGAGCACTTAGAACAGTTTGCTGAAGACAGGATATTATTAAACCTATAAAAAGCTCCCTTATTTGCCCACAGTTGTGGCACAATCTCCAGCTCATGCTTTATTTATTAAAGGCAAACTCAGACTGGCCTATGAACCCTGGCACTGACCTCCCCTGGCATTGCTCATCGGATGCCCCAGGTGCACACACCCTGAGAACCATGGCATCACCTTTCCCCCTCATGGAAGGCTTCAGCTGGCAGTAAACACTCAGCTCCTTGAAGCCCTTCTCAGAGAGCCTCCTCCCTGAGTCCAGGCGCCTTCCCCTTCTAGCTGTCCAGGGCACTCTTTGCCTGCTTTATTCTTTTCTTAGCTGTTATCAAGTCCTCCACCTCATACAATTTACTTTTCATTGTGTTTAATGTCTGTCTTTTCTTGTATGTGTCAGACTGCCTGGAGCAGGGATGTTTTGTCCCTGATAGTGGAAGTGCCAGGCACTGGGGTAAACAAAAGCATGTAGCAGGCTGCCAGGGCAAAGGATGCTTCAGCAGTTCACCGCAGGACTTACAGCCCCTGCCTGTTTTTTTCATTCCTAGGTGTATTCCCTGGACTCTGCTGATTCTTTTCAAAGCTTCTACAGCCCTCACAAGGCTCAGATGAAGAATCCTATCCTGGAACGCCTGGCAGAGCAGATTGCAACCCTGTGTGCCACCCTAAAGGAGTACCCAGCTGGTATCGGGGGTAAGGCAGCATGCTGGACTGCTCTGGATGGGGTATTTTGTGTCCCACAAATACCTGAGTTCAATCCCTGGAACCCATGAAAAGATGGAAGGAGAGAATCAGTGTCACAAAGTTGTCTTAGGACTCATATATGTGTGCATGCTTACATACCCCCACGCACATATCACAAAATGATACATAAACAAAAATATTCTTTCAATTATTTTATCATTTACTATATTCAGAAAAGAACATATGTATATTCAGTTACTGAATAGTCAAAATATAAACCCCATGCCCCTGCAGTCAGATTTCCTAGTTTTTAACTCTTCGAAATGTTTTCAAACCAACATCATCTTTGTAGAGGGTTTGAAAGTGAAATACAAAGTCAGGTATGGTGGGGCACATCTGTAATTTTAGCACTTGAGTGGCTGTGGCAGAAAGATGAGACATGCACGATTACCCTCAGCTACACAGCAAGTTTGAGGCCAGCCTGGTCTACATAAGACCTTGATTCAAAATAGAGAGAGAGATACAGAGACAGAGACACATTGTTGACACAGGAAAATCCTCATGACACTGTCATTCTAAAGAACCAGGTCACTCAAGAGTAAGATAGTCTTTGGAGATATGTGTGTGTGTGTGTGTACATATATATGTATACATACATAACACAAATATACATATACATGTATTGGGTTTTTTGTTTGTTTATTTTTTGTTTTGAGACAGGGTTTCTCTACAAAGCCCTGGCTGTTCTGGAACTCACTATGTAGACCAGGCTGTTCTCAAACTTGGAGATTTACCTGCTTCTGCCTCCACCTCCAAGTGCTAGGCTTAAAGGTGTGCACCACTACCACCTGGCCAGTCTATGAATTTTTAAAAAAGATTTTGTGCTAGGTGAGGTGGTACACATCTTTAATCCCAGTACTTGAGAAACAGTGGCAGGTGGAGTCCTGAGTCTGAGGCCAGGTGGTCTACAGAATTAGTTCCAGGACAGCCAGAGATACACAGAGAAACTCTGTCACAAAAACAAAAACAAAACATAGGGTGCTGGGAATTGAACTTCGGTCCTCTGGAAGAGGAGTACACTTTCTTAACCTCTAGGCCATCTCTATAGTCCCCATTCTTTGGTTTTCATGAAGTCACTGACTCATCACTTGCTGTGTACTGAGTGCTGGGGGACTTAAAGCTAAAGATACAGTGCCATCCTTAGATGTTCCAGAGGATCTGGAGGGCAAGTGATGAAGGGTGCCAGTATGTGTGAAGGCAGCGTTCACCAAGGCCCTGGAAGCCAGTGCCTTCAAGCAGCAGATCACAGTGCTAGGGGCATCCAGAGTGGGGAGCAGCAGCCCTCCCAGCCTAGGACAGGTAGGAGTGTGTATGTGGCAGGTTTTCTGAAGGGGTTCAGATTGCAGTAGATGGGTTAGGAAGGGTGAGGGCATTGCCTCAGCACTAGGCTCTTGCTGTTGGTGTAAGCAAAGCTTCAGGAAAGCAAAGAACAAGTGTAGTCTAGCACAGTAGCAATGTAGGGCAGGTTTAGTTTCGTGAGACCTCCTGAGGGGAGCAAATCAGAGATTTGGGAGACATTTAACTGAGTAGGAGTCTGGGCAGGGAAATGCAGAAGGAGGCAATGAAGCCAGGTCCCCAATGCAGAGCAGGTCTGAGCTTGAATGATGATGCTGTGGACAGACAGGATGGCCTAAGGAGCAAGCGCTCTGTGCAGCTCAAGCTTCTGCTCTGATATAAGAGGCTGGTGGCTCTGAGCACCCTGCACCTGCACCAGCTTCTAGCTCTCCTCATTGCTGGTATTCTCTGACCAAAAAAAATAAACAAAACAAAACAAAACAAACAAAAATGGTACAAGGTGAGAAAAGGGCTGTGTCCATCTTCCTGACACAGTAGCAGGAGCTTGATCTTGGAACAGATGCAGCGGCATGGAGGTTGGCTGGTTCCCAGCCATATCATCTAAGGCAAGAAGAAGGAACAAGAAAAATCCTTTACAGGCTGGGCACTAAGCTGAGCATTTGATTGTTCTTTTTAAACTACATATGTAACATGTGCATTTCTTTGTCTGTTCACTCTTGAGACAGAGTCTTACTATGTAGCTCTGGCTGGCCTTAACCTTGTGGTGGCTGTCCTTCCTGAGCCTCCCAAGTGCTGGAATTATAAGGGTGTGCTGCCATGCCTCTCATATGTGGGTACACTCTTACGGTGTAAATCCTAATATAGACAGTGCTCCCACCTCTCTTGTCTATCCCACACTGCCCAGCATCCTGCCTGGAGGCACTTGGCATGTTATTTGGATGCACAGGTGGCTCACCCGCCGTCTTTCTCCTTTGGTTAGGGAGTACAAGGACAATGCATTGCTGGCTCAGCTGATCCAGGACAAGCTGGATGCTTATAAAGCTGATGACCCAACAATGGGGGAGGTAAGTCTGGCCTTCTACAAGGCTTTCATTCTGAGTAAACTGTTTATGTGGCAGGCAAGCATGGCCCTGCAAGTCACAGAGCATTTGATTGTTCTTTTTAAACTACCTATGAAACATGTGCATTTGTTTGTCTGTTTACTCTTGAGACAGAGTCTTACTATGTAGCTCTGGCTGGCCTTAACCTTGTGGTGGCTGTCCTTCCTGAGCCTCCCAAATACCTAGAGGTACCTTTGTGAGGCTGCTTTTCTGCCCAGTGATCTCTATCTAGTGAAGTGCCCTTGCTGCCCCTTGTTGCCCCTTGCTGCTGGGGCAGGCCGGTGCTAGGGTGACCAGCTTCTCCTGTTTGCTTAGACTCCCAGATGCAGCCCTGAATGTTCAGGGAACTCCCCAGTAGCAAAATACCAGAGGTAGCAAGTAGACAGTGGCACAGTCTCCCCTTTCTGTGCATCTCACTGGCTTCACTAGTGTTTGCATGTACTCCATGTGTGCACAGTTCTCTGTACTTTTTTGTTTGTTTGTTTGTTTTGTTTTGTTTTTTGAAAAAGTGTTTCTCTGTGTAACAGCTCTGACTATCCTGGAACTCTGTAGACCAGCCTGACCTCAAACTCACAGAGATCTGCCTGCCTCTACCTCCCAAGTGCTGGTATTAAAGGCGTGTGACACCACCGCCCAGCAGTTCTCTGGACTTTTAACACAATACATAGTTTGTGTAACCAACACTGCCATTGAGACAAAGAGCTGGGAGCTAGAGCACAGCTCGATGGCAGAGTGCATGCTTACTTAGCATTGTATGACACCCTAGCTGATCCCCAAGACACAGAACTCTGCCATTAGTGCTGTGGACTTGTAATTGAACCCCTCAGTGTTGGACACTACAGTAAGTCACCCGTTTGCAATGAACTGGTGCTCACTGTATTGCATAAGCTCCCTTTGGCCCCGGCCATAGCTTCAGGGCTGTGTCAGGGCTGTGGCGTATCACCTGGAGTGGCTGTTGCTCTTGTCCAGGCAGGCACAGCACCAGAACTCAATTCCTGCTGCCCTGTAACTAAGCGGTTCCACTAATTGGAGTGACTCAAGTTGGTTGTGTGTCTCTTGAAGCATCTCCCTGTGTCTTGCCAGGGTCCTGACAAGGCACGGTCCCAGCTCCTGATCCTGGATCGTGGCTTTGACCCCAGCTCTCCTGTGCTTCATGAATTGACTTTTCAGGCTATGAGTTATGATCTGCTGCCTATTGAAAATGACGTTTACAAGTAAGTATGAAGTCACAAGGTCCACAGTGACGAGCTCTGAAGTTGACTGGAATTCCTCTGACTAAGAAAAAAGATGTGTTTGTAGTTTTTACTTTTCTATTTTTGTATGTGTGTATGTAGTATGCATGCATGTCACATATGATATGCATGTTTGTGGGGGCGTGTTGAAGGCCAGGCCCATAATTGATGTTGGCTGTCATATTTGATTGCTTTCTACATTATTGAGGGAAGATCTTTCACTGAACCTAGAGCTTGCCAATTTCAGCTAGTCTGTCTTGCTAGTTTACTCCAGGAACCCCCTGTTTCTGCCACCCAGTTCTAGTATTACAGGTGGCTGCCATGCCTGCCTCCCGTTTAAATGAGCTCTAGGCATCTGAACTCTTGTCCTCACACTTTTGTGGCAAGCTCTTTATCCACTGAGCCATTTCTCCAAGCAGAAAAAGAATTTGTTGTTATTGTTGTTTGGCTTTTGTTTTTCGAAACAGGGTTTCTCTGTGTAGCTTTGGAGCCTGTCCTGGAACTCACTCTGTAGACCAGGCTGGTCTGGAACTCACAGAGATTCGCCTGCCTCTGCCTCCTGCCCAAGAGCTAGGATGAAAAGAGTGTGCCACCACTGCCTGGCGAGAGTGTTTTTAATATTAGGAAAAGTATGTGCATTGATACAGTTTCTTAGATAAACCTACAAGGTTTTCTGTGGGTTTCCCCAGTCCGTTCTGCATTTCTTGGTGCTTGCTAACAGGACAGAACAGTAGTAGGTCCTTTTTCATAGCTCATATCACTTCAGTTCATAACTTCTTGGATGTGTTGGCAGGTTGGTTCTGTGTGTGTCTTATTCAGAACTGAAAGTTGTTAATTACAGAGCACAAAACATAATTGTGGTAAAATATTTCAACAGGTTTTCTTTTTCTTTCTTTTTTCTTTCTTTCTTTCTTTTTTTTTTTTTGAGATAGGGTTTCTCTGTGTAGCTTTGTAAACCACACTGGCCTCAAACTCACAGAGGTCCACCTGCCTCTGCCTCCCAAGTGATGAGATTAAAGGCATGCGCCACCACCGCCCAGACCTCAACAGGAATTCTAAGTGAACATTCTGTGCAGTAGAACTGCTTTCTTCCTTATAAAAAAAATATTACCTGCCTATAATCTCCGAACTCAGGAGCCTGAGTTTGAGGCCAATCTGGACACTTAGCAGGAGAGCCTATCTCAAGACAAAGAGTGGCCTTAAATGAAGATTCTGACGGGAGGGAGAGGGAACTGGGATTGTCATGTAGAACAATCTTGTTTCTAATTCAAATAAAAATCTGCAAAAAACAAGAAAACGAAGATTCTGGGGCTTGAGAGATGGCTCAGTGGTTAAGAGCACTTGCTGCTTTTGCAGATGACAGGGTTCAGTTCCAGCACCCACATAGTCTTAAAGCTGTCTGTAATTTCAGTTCCAAGGGAACTGACACCCTCTTCTAACCTCTGTAGGCATCAGGCACACGTGGTACACAAACACACTTACAGGCAAACACTCAGACACACCCAAAATAAACACATCTTTTTAAAAACTGAAGGTTCTGCTGGGTGGCGCATGCCTTTAATCCTGGCACTTGGGAGACAGAAGCAGGAGGATCTCTGTGAGTTCAAGGCCAGCCTGGTCTATATAAGTCCAGGACAGCCAGGACTATATGGAGATACCTTATCTCAATTAATTAATTAATTAATTTAAAATGAATATTCTAAAAATATCCATGGCATTCAGTCCTTCTCCCTTTTGGTTCCTGGGATTCTTGCCTCCTCTGGCCATTCATGACTCCATGTGTAATAACATGCTGAGGACCCATCAAGGAAGCCTCTGGAAACCTTTTAGGCAATCGTGCCCTTGCAGGTGTATCCCTCCCTTTTCTCAGAGAGGGGCAGACAGATGTGTAGTCTTTCTATTCTGTGTAACTCTAGATTCACATATAACTGCCACGGGCCTTGGACCTCCTCCCAGCCAGCTGGGAGGAGTTAGAGCAGAACTCCCAAGTTGTTGGCTTTGAGCGGAGCCCTTTCACCTTGCCCGGGGAATCGCCCACTTGGTGCTGTCTCAGATGACCTGGCCAGCCTGTCAGGCGGTCAGTGGTGTTATGAGCCACACCCGGAATCACCTGGCAGCTGAGAACACAGGTGTTACCCTTAGGAATCAAAGGCAGAGTCTGGGTGTGAAGGTGCACACCTGTGATCCCAGCACTTGGGAGGTGCAGGTAAGAGGGTCAAGAGGTCAGGGCCTGTCTTAGCTACTAAAGGAGTCTGAAGCTGGCCTGGGATACATGAAATCACGTTTCACAAAACCAGCAAAGGATCCAGAGGGGGGCCCAGGAGGCACGTGGGGACCCAGGCCACCCAGGTCCTCTCTCCTGCAGATATGAGACCAGCGGCATTGGAGAGGCACGTGTGAAGGAGGTGCTTCTGGATGAGGACGATGACCTGTGGATCGCGCTGCGTCACAAGCACATCGCAGAGGTGTCCCAGTAAGAACCTGATGCACATTCCCCAGGGTGGGCCCTTAACCCTGGCCCGGGAAGTGACCATACACACCCAGCAAATTTGGGAGTGAGCTCATCCACTTGTCAAAGTTGCTAGCATGCTGCTAAAACTGACAGGTTTTCTGTTCCTGGAGTGTGTGCGTCTCCAACTTCACCAACTTAAACCCCAACTCTCAGGGCAGTTGCTCTGAGGACTCTCGGTAAGCATGAGTGCCACTCTCACAGGGGTGCCAGTTTGCACATTGACTCCCCTGAGCTGCCAAGCAGGCCCCGCTGGCTCCTCAAGTAAGAGCTTGTGTCCTCCAACTGAGATGCCCCTTGATGAAAGGGCTGCATGGTGTTTCCTATGTGTAAACACAGTTAGAAGACAGAGACAGAGACGGCAGCTCCCCTTTTTAGAAAGGCACACTCTGTCTTCTCCAGTTGGGGTATCCTCATGAAATTTATGAGGAAAAGTGGGGAAGCTTTGCACCCTTCTGTGGTACTGTTTAGGGAAGTGGTTGCCAGTACTTAGATTCCTCAGCCTTAAGAAATACGGATCGTTACATAGGCTTGGGATGTAGCTCAGAGGTGGAGCCTTTTCCTACCATTGACAAGGCCATGGGTTCCACCCCTAGCTCCACAAAACCATGTTTTAGTGGCAGGTGACTTTTTTTCTTGTTGTTTTTCATGACAGGGTTACTGTGCGTAGTCCTGGCTGTCCTGGCTCTGTAGACCAGGCTGACCTCTTACTCAGAGATCCTTGGATCTACCTCTGCTGGGATTAAAGATGTGTGCCACCATGCCCAATATTGGGGAGGAAATCCTGGCCCCCATTTCTTGCCATTAAATTTGTTTGTGGATGAGTCATATACTATATAGATTTGTATTTTCCAAACATAAGACATGAATGTTTCAATTAGTGTGCATTTGGAAAAGAAAATAAACACAAGTAGATGCCCAGTACTGTCCCCTTTGTCCTTTGAGCCATCTGACACCCTGCTCTGGAGACCAGTGGTTTAGAGGATCAATGAATGACAGCAGCATGTGTCCTTCACTTTAAATGCATACCTCAGTTGGAAGAAAATGGCCACCTAGTCCTGAGAAGGACTGCATGAGGTTTCGGTGGTCTCTTCAGAGAACCCTGGGCACTGTGTTGAGTGTGGCTGCCTCCCCCCATTTTACAGGGAGGTCACCCGGTCTCTGAAGGACTTTTCCTCTAGCAAGAGGATGAATACTGGAGAGAAGGTAAGCCTGCTGATGTCCAGAAGTCCTGGGGGTCAGTAAGTCATGCCAGTGCCCAGACACCCTGAGGGTCAGTCCCTGCCTTCTCTGTGTCCCTCTATGGAGTAGACAGGGCCATATTTCTCCCTCACTAGATATCTGCTTTATTTTTGCATTTAAGATTCATATCTGAAAAGAAAAAAACTGAGATCTGGGATCTGGGGGTATGGCTGAGCAATAGAGTGCTTTTTTAGTAGCATAGACCTTGGACATGATCCCCAGCACGACAGACAGACCCTGTCTCTCTGAAAGAGCCCTTATCTTCCGGTGTCTGTGGACAGCTGCTTTCTCATATCGCAGGATTAAGATTTACCACTTAGGAGCATAACTGATTTTAAGCCGCAAGAATCATGAGTGTTTCAGCGTGTCGTGGACTGAGGTCACCCCGGCTCTGGCCTCTTTTCACCTTGTTAGAAACGTCATGCCCAGCCAGATGTAGTGGTGCTTATCTTTAATCCCAACCAAGATGGCTCAGCAGGTACTTGCTGCCAACCCTGACCACAAGTTCAGTTCCTGGAATCCACATGTCAGAAGGAGAGACTGACTCCTGCAAACTGTCCCGGCGATGTCTCTAAGTGTGCTGTGGCATTCGTGTGTGTGTGTGTGTGTGTGTGTGTGTGTGTGTGTGTGTGTGTGTGTGTGTGTTTACTTCCACACACAC